TACAAAAGAACAAAAAAAAAGAGAAAAAGTAACAATGGACTGAGAGATTTTCACATCTGTACTGTTACTGTGCTTATGGTTTTATTCTTTTGGAAATTTTGATATAATAATAAAACATAAAAATCCGCTCTATAAACAACTAAATGAATTTGTAAGAAATCTACATATATATATAAAACAAAGTTGGGTTTGTTACAATACTTATAACTCGAGAATTGCTGGACAGATTTTGATGATCGTTGATTTGTTGGATTTGTCTCTGCCCCGAATAGCAGAAAAACTATTAAAAAATCGAATAAAATCAAGTTTTTTTTTAATTTACATGGCTAACGTTGTATGCCTATTTAAAACGTATCTAGGGACGAACCCGAGAGAAGCGAAGTTGAGCTGCTAGTATCTTATACACTGAAAATATATAGTTGACTTTATGTTTGATTGTGCTAATCTCAGAAACTACGGTTTTCAACAAAAGAAAGGGGGATTATCTAGAAAGATTTATGGACTATAACTTATGAACATCTCACAAAAAATCTCGGAAAAAAATCGGAAAAACTAAGCCACTTTAGCTACTAAGAATATAAATGATATGGTCATTTATTTTGTTGTATATACCTGTGAAATATAGATTAAGTTTCACTTAAAATACAAGTAAAATTACTTTAGTGCTTAATAACATACTCTATACAAATTTTGGTGCCGATGTTAGTCTAAATTTCTGCTAAAGTCAGCTTGAAACTCGATAACATGGAGGCTATAAATTTACGTTGGCAACCCATTAATTCTAATTAAATCTTACAAAATAATATCATTTTACTAATGCTATTTATATTTAAGCATATAAGTTTTTGCGTTACTATTAAACCATTTTCCATTATTATATACTAGAGACTTACCCTCGCTTCGCTCGAGTTCGACTCTTAGTATGAAACAGTAGCCTATGTGTTACTCTCCCCCCCAACGTGCGTTCACCTTGTCGTGGTGGGGGGGCTCAGTAGTGCTCGGCAACCCAACCGGGCGCGAAGCCAAGAAAAGCACATTGAGGTGGCCCACTTCGGTGGGCAGTGGGAGGTGGCCCTCTTCGGTGGGCGGTGTACCATGCGGGTTGCTCCTGGTACTTCTCTAATAGCAGAGTGGACCTTGGAGCAACCCCGTGGTTGTTGTGGTCTGCTTCGGCAGACCTGCCGTCGGGGCGTCGTAGTTGAATGCGTAAGCGATCCTGCGACGCCCTTAAGACGGGGGAAGGCTTTGTTGGGTTTTAGTGGGTAGTACTGGCTTTGCCGGTGAGTCCCACACCTCGTGCGTAAATGCATTTCCCAACGTTAAAAAAAAAGCCTATGTGTTACTCTAGGTTATAGTCTGTGTCCCCCCCAACGTGCGTTCACCTTGTCGTGGTGGGGGGCTCAGTAGTGCCCGGAAATACAGCCGGGCGCGAAGCCAAGAAACGCACAGGGAGGTGGCCCTCTTCGGAGGGCGGTGTACCATGCGGGTTGCTCCTGGTACTTCTCTGATAGCAGAGTGGACTTTGGAGCAACCCCATGGTCGTTGTGGTCTGCCTCGGAAGACCTGCCGTCGGGGCGTCGTAGTTGAATGCGTAAGCGATCCTGCGACGCCCCATTAAGACGGGGGAAGGTTTTGTTGGGTTTTAGTGGGTAGTGCTGGCTTTGCCGGTGAGTCCCACACCTCGTGCGTAAATGCATTTCCCAACGTTAAAAAAAAAAAAAGGTTATAGTCTGTGTACTTATCCAAATCCGTTTTAGCGTGAAGGAGTAACATACACAAAAACACACATACAAACATTACGCTTCAATTATAGTGCCTAGTCTGAAATATTGCCTATTTTTGCTCAACTTCAAAAAAAGAGGAAATTGTGGGCAGATTGTCATGATTCTATTTTTAATCCCTCACCGACCGCGGATACGCGGGCGTTACAGTTAACAATAGATTTCTTAGAAATTTAATTAATTTCTTAGAAATTTACCTGGAGGTGTTAATTAATAAGTTATACCTCAGAAAGAACTATATATATAAATTTTAAAAAAATACCGTTCCTAGAGCGAAATAACTAATTTGAAAGTAATTTTGTAGTCTTTTGGTCGTTTTGTGTAGTTATTATACTCTAACCTTTTTTTTAACTGCTTCGGTGCTGTAGTGGCTAGCATGCACGGCTGCACACTGGAGGTCCTGGGTTCGAGTGCCGGGTCGAGCCAAGTTTAGTTATTAAGTCTTTCTGTATATTAAGTCTGAGTAACAGCCCGGAGTTAGGAAGTTGGCGGTGTTACACCCCCGTGCCTCGGAGAGCACGTAAAGCCGTCGGTCCTGCGCCTTAACTCTCACTGGTCGTGTTGAGTGGTCGTCCCACCAGAGTATGAGAGTGACAGGAATAGAGAGTGCACGTCGTGTCCGCGCGTACACTCGTGCACTATAATATCTCCTGCGCAGTTTGATAGTATCAATGAGATTGGCCGCCGTGGCCAGAATCGGTCAGGAGAACATCATACTCTACCCTTAAATCAGGATTAAGGAAAAAACCTCAAGAATTAGAATTAAAAATCCTAATTGAAAGAACAAATTTATGTGTTTTTATGTTTGCTTGCTTGTCACGTTATATCACTTTATAACATTTCGTAATCAAGCAATCGCATGGGACGTCCATCAGTTTGATTTTAAGAAAAAATCATACCGTGTAATAACTGAATAACACCTTTTCAGTGATACTGAAAAGAATCGAGGGCTTAAGCAAAATCGGGTCACTAGTTTTTAAAAACTGTTTTAACTAAAAAAATGTTTGTGTGTGTCGATTCATAGAGCTTTACGTCCACTTCTCAGTTTCGTTCCGTTGCTTAATGCTTAGATTTATGGTATTTTTATACACTTTATGGTTTTTAGCGATGGTAGAACCACTTTAATAGAATTTGAAAATAATACAGAAATGACGATGATGACATTCTGAACGTGTAGTGTATTAGATAGATAAATTCCAAATTATATATACATTGTAGTTTTCTACTAGTAATAGCTATTGTAGAATTATTATGTTATTTAAGCGCGTAATATCGATATTATAAGCAATTGTTTGACAATTTACCTTTTTATCATATAGAAAAATAAAATAATTTAGACATAGGTATTACCTATATGAAATTATGTAACAAAGATACAAATATATTTACATATCTATAATACAATTAGATATCAAAATAAATAGACCTTTTCTAGCACAGACTAAAATTTAACCATTCATTTACATTTGAAACATTTTCTAAGTAATAAATAGAGTTATATTCAAGTTTCATATGTTTGAAAATTAAACCGCACATTCAAGTATGCTACGGTTTACTGTTTGTATTTCATGGCCACAGGATTAACCTACCGTTAGCTACCCTCGGGTATATGGAATATCTGCGTTATAGAGATCATCTCTTCAAACGTAAGATCCCAAGAGTAGTATTATATTGCTAGACTTTGCACTCACCCTCGTTTCGCTCGGGTTCGTCCCTAGGATTCTTCCCCATATAAACTTTCAACCCCATTTTCAACCCCTGAAGGGATGATTTCCGGGATAAAAACTATCCTGTGTCTTACCGATTTTCATCTAAATCGGTTCAGTAATTTTGGAGCCTATTCGGTACAAACAAAGAAAAAAAAACATTCCTCTTTATAATTTTAGTATAGTTAAATAAAATTGAAGTGTCTGTTTGTAATGTTAAAAAAACAACAAACTTTTTGCATATAAAAGTATATACGGCGCTTATAAAAAGACAATTTTTAACTGTCTGTTTATTCCGGCAAATCTCCAAAACGGCTGGAACAATTTTGTCTTAAGTCTGTTTTCTATTTATAATTTAAATGCTTCTCATATCGTATTCTGGCTTGACCTATAACTACTTATATTTTAATATTACTAGGCTCGAACCTGTGATCTCCAGTAAGGAAGACTTCCTAGGTCATAGAATGTATGTACATATACTATGTATTTATTTCTATAGATGTTTTAACACCTAAAGGTAAATTTCAAAGAAATTAATTAAATTTCTAAGAAATCTATTGTTAACTGTAACGCCGGCGTGTCCGCGGTCGTGGAGGGATTAATATGTATGTAAAACTATGCAATAAATGTTAACGTTTAAAGACAAAAATAATTCGATGAGGAAATAAAACATTTAAATCTAATGTTTTCTATGTTTATATATGCTACAAAAGGGCGAGGGAAAACGCTATTACAAACAGCGCTTAAATTAGTTAATACCTCCGCGCGTTCCTGAGAAAAAGGGTCTTGACAGACAGACAGCCAAGAACGAAGTTATCCTTCAAGTGTTCTTTATTTCCTTTTGATGTACGGAACCCCAAAAATAACAAGTAAAATAAAAGTTTTGAATGATAAAGTGGACTAAAGTTTTTGATTAAAAAAAAGGCTATAGTGTTTATTCTACGAAGGCTATTGTATTTTTATTATCAAAAGTTTACGTTCACTTTTTTCAAAATTTAAACATTAACATAACAAAATTTAATTGTTCTTTTTTATTTTATTTATTTAATTTCTTTATTTTATTTTAACTATTTTTTTGTGGAAAAACTTTTGAAATAGGAATTATTTAAATCGGTTTACAATTGACGAAGATATCACGTTACAAACACACATAAAATATCTAATTTAATTAAGTACCAGCTTTGTTGGAAGTCGGTCAAAAAGTAATTTAAATAAAACACTAAGTCAAACAGTAACCAAGGGCCACTTCACTCTATTTAATTACAGTATATCGAATACAAGCAGTACCTAAATCTACTGGCCCGCGCTTAAAGTCAGTTAGAGTCCAGACGTGTCGAGAGACGCACGCTTTTCCACAGCAAAAAAGCGGGAAAATCGCGAAAAAAAATTCGCAACGAACACTTTTGAAAAATGTACGATATAATTTAAAATAAGAAGATGAATTTAAAAGGAACGTCACGTGAAGTTTTACTTTGAAAAATTTACGTGTAAAATTGAATGTGTATTAAAAAAAATGGATACTTTTTGGATGTTTTTGCTGTTCGCGCCATTTTTATCTCGTAAGTGTTTTATTCATAAACTTTTTAAATAAAATAATTATTGTTTTTTTATTGTACTATCAAATTGATTTAAAAAAAATGCTTATTCTTAATAGGTTGCAATATTATTTTCCAGTTTCAAAATTTTCTTTACTATAATAAATATTAAGCATAGTAAATTACATTAAATTTTGGGCTGAATCTAAATAATTATTATATTTGATTATTTTATTTTTATTAAGTAGGTAATTCGAATACAGTTTTAATTACTTAAGATAACACTTTATTATAAAGTTTAACTTACGTTGATAAATATTTCTATTTAACTTTTTAAATGTTGTGTTGGCTGAATAAAGTTTAGTCAAAGCGCTATTAAAAATATATCGTACAAACTACAAACAAAAAACTTGAGTACTTTTGGCGGTAAATGTATTTCAAATATAATATTGTGTTGTCTTAATCAGTGAAAATAAATTTAAAACGCATAACTATATAAAATTTTGTTTTTCAAGAAAGGTTTAGAGTCAAATAAGTTTTAGGTTAGTTTATTTATAATACTTTTTATTGGTAAATAAGAATAAATATTTTTAATATTTTTTGTACTTCCTAATATATTTTTTAATATTAATTACATACTATATATACATTTACTTAATAAATAAAAATATTTTGTTTGAAAATGTTTTTACCAAATTTTATCTCTAACTAGCAATAAGTCCGAGATTCGCGTGCGTTTTTTTAACATGAATGTATTATATTTTACACTCAGACTGCAATAATTTTACAGTACATTAATTTTGAAATAAAGTTTATTATAAAAGTGAAGTATTAATTAAAAATTTAAGTAATAAAAAATAATGCCACAAAAAAATATTATTTTCATGCATAGGAAATATGCAACATTATAGTAATCAATCATATTCGTATTATTTTCCGCCATTTAGGTTATTCGGACGTCATTTCGAATAATGCGCTTAAAATTAACAATTTTTCTCTGGCCATGCGATGTATCTGTAAAGATTTTTTTGTTACTATAACGCGCTTATCTGTGGAACAACGAGTCAGGTTGGAAAATATACAGTTCATTTTAAATAAAACTATCTGTCCGGAGTCTATCGCGGTTTTATTTTAATTTTTTTATTCCCCACGTTTCAATCGCTGAAAAAATTCAAGTATTCATGTAAATGTAAATATTGTAAGGTACTTTGTTACCTTTTTTGAATTTTTAAAATAATTTTGTAAAATTGGGGGTAGGCACTGTCTGTTACAAGTAGGTATATAACGCCTTTAAGGCGTCTAATAAGGTTTTGGAGTTTAGGTTTTAGTTTGTTTTTTTTTTAGTTTAGTTTAAGGTCTCTCCCGTGACTATAACTGCTGTAAAGCATTCGAAACGTCGGAAACCAAAAATCAAAATAAATCTGCGAAATAATCCGAAAAGATAGTTTTATTTAAAAAGTATTATATTTTTACATATTTTTATAGTCTATTCATATATCTCTTAGAAATGACGCAATAGTATTATTAGTAGGTATACATATAATTAAAAAACGCGAGAAAATCCACGAACTAAAACTAATATAGGTAGATAAATAAAAAAAACACTCTAGTTAAACCTATTTCCAATAATAACCGAATAGCAAATAAATAATATGTCTGTAATTGAGGTTCTCCAAATAGAGTAAAATATTGTGTTAAGCATTAATTACACAAGTTTAATTATTACCTTAAATAAATATAGGCTATATTTGTTTCCATACAATTACGTACAATATGAATAATTTATTAATAGTACAATTATTAAATCGTGAAAGAAATCCATACTTAATATTATAAATGTTGAAGTGTTTGTTTGTTTGTTTGTTTGTTTGTCTTTCTTTAACGTCGAAATGGAGTGCGTTTTCCCGCAGCTCTTTATAAATTATAGCCTATGTGTTACTCTGAGGTATAAGCTATGTTACTTTAAAGTTTCATCAAAATCCGTTCAGCAGTTTGCGTGAAAGAGACAGAAACATGCATCCACACGCCACACAGTACTTTCGAGATATAGAGAATATCAGTTAGATCTACGTTATTTGTTGAATTTATTCCTATCTACTTATTTACGAGATAAGAACGACAATGGATTTTAATGGTCTTTTGTACAATTTTTCAGTTGAGTCTTTTTATTTGACGGGATATTTTATTTTTTTTAATTTATTTATTATCTATGAAAGTAAGTTTGTTTTTCGCTTTCTTATGCTTAGCTTTTTAGCGCTTTCATTTAGAACTCGTGTAAGTTAAATAAATTCCCAAAACGTACTAAATCTGCCATAATTTAAACAGCTGTTATGAGTACAAATTGAACCCATTATCGTAGTATAATAGGTAGTTCTAGTTACCACTTCACCATGGGATAGTAAATTACCGAAAGATGCAATTAAAATGAAAAACAAAATCAATATTCCGTTCAGGACAATAATAAGGGTTTTTTGGTCGACGAACAGATCATAAATCTTGCATGGGGTAGACTTTGCTATGACAGACAGCTAGTTATTACTACTGAAATAGGATCGTAAAGATCATCAGTTTCTTCTCGACTTTATGTCACATTTATTTAAGCAAATAGTATCTAGGACTTCAGATTTGTTACTATTAGCAGGAAGACAAGTTCCTTTACTATAAAATTAGTTATGTGAAAGTTTGTATGTGTGTGTATGTTTGTTACTCCTTCACGCTAAAACAGTTGGGCTGATTTGAATATTTGGTACATAAATATTTACTATGACTTATATAATATATAAGCTATTATAATATATGTACACAAGTATTGCCCGCGGCTCCGCCCGCGTTCAGATGATCAAAAACCAAATTCTTAGGTTTTACATATTAGTATACTCTTACAATGCAGTTTTTCTATTTTTTCTCAGAAATGATATATTTTCCCGCGGTGAAAAGTATCCTATATGTTGACCCGGATAACCAGCTATCACCATACCAAATTTCATCAAAATCCCTCCAGTGGGTTTTCTGTGATGCGATAACAGACAGATAGACAAAATTTTTAAAAAGAATAGATTCGGGCTTTGTATCGATAATAATATCTATTTCAATAAAATTTTCCAAAAATATTTAATGTACAGATTCAGCTTAGTTATAATTTTATTATATGTATGGAAAATTAATTTTTAAACCAAAAATATAATTGCCTTCTATTTTATTTTCTGGGATTTAAAAAAAATGTTGTTGTCAAACTAAGAAACCGATACAAACTGCTAGCAAAAAAAGTGTAGAGCTTTTTATTGAGAAAAATATAATTTTGTTTATATATAGATAAAATTATTGAATCTATTTTTTTTATAAAAAAAAATATTCAGATTATTATTTAAAAATTTATAAAAAAAGGTTGTTTTTGCTTTTAAATTTTATTAATATTTTAATTAAGTAAATCTTCTCAAGTGAGTATTTGTATAACTTTAATATTTCGACCCAATAATCTTACTAATTTAGCGTGAAAATGAACGCATCGAGTGATAGATAGTATGTGCTAGTATATATACATCTCACGTTTGATATAAGGACGTTAGACCCTTGATATATTGTTACTGAGTGGTCCTTTTATAAATAAATGAGGCTAATTTATATGTAATGTAATCCTTCTTACTTTGAGGATGAAACGTAAGAGAAATGAAAGAAATTAATAATTATTTCGTCTCAACTATTTATTTCCATAAGTAAAGGCCTTGTTATTGTAGGGGCTGGCAATTATAATTGCGAGTGAAGGTCCTGGGTTCGAGTCCTAGGCCTGGCAAGTTAAGTAATTGGATTTTTCTAGTGTCCTACTGATCTTTCATAGTTTTATCAAATTGTCCGGATTTTGCGGGTGAAAGGAATAAAATATGCCTCTCGCATAGATGGCTAGTCTCAATAAAATTGGACGATTTGACCTAAATCTGTCAGGACGACAGTTATATTATTATGTATTTAATTAATAAGCACTATAACAGCGTAAGATTAATTTTAAAATTGTTGATGTGAAACATTTAATGCGACGGATTAAACCGATAATAATTAAATGCATTTTTAAATAAAGATTTTTTCTTTAAAAAAATCTGAATATTTTTTTTAATTATGTCATATTTATTGCCTTTAAAAACCATCTCGTCATGGATATTTTCTATACAAAATAGTTTCGATGATTTACATCTACCAGGCGTCCCGCAACGGCTTTAATTGTTATAAATACATAAATATTTTCTTGCCAAGGTATATAAAAAGTGTCATAGCATATTATATAACATAATATAAGATATACTTGCTCTTTTTCAGTGATGTCATTTTTCTGACCAAACATTTATCCCATGGGAGCCTCTAACGGCTAACCTGTATTTTTCAATGAAGTATCTAGTTTAATTCGTGTTGGAGACTTGCAATATCGGTCGTCACATTAAATATTAAAGAAAATTTTGTACAATTTTAAAAATTGTAAAGAACCTCCATTTTCTTAATTTTTCCTCAAAGAACTTTATATCTTCCATTATTTTTAAATATAAAGTACGATAAAAGAGTTCCCCCATGCCTTTGAGTACTTTCAACGCGTCAATGGGATTGCCGAGATGTAACCTAGATAAGCTAAAAACTTAAGGTAAGCCGTCGCGTCGCCCTAAAACGCTCTTAAGAGTCTTGCGAGGATTTTTGCAAGATGAGACGTTTTATCTTCAAACCACACTGTGTATTAAAAACTACAAAGTTAATGTTTTTGCTTATGTTTTTATAATGAAAAAATAATTTAACATTTTATTGAGTAATACCTTATTTAAAAAAATACTTTGAAAGGTTTTACTAGATAAAAAGGCTAGATAGTATATATTTTTAAATTATAAAGACGGGTATATATTTATATTTATACATATAATAAAACTGGAGAGGTCGAATGTCTGTACATAGAAAAACAGCTAAAAACGGAGTCAAGGGGATGTAAGAAGAGATATAGAATAAATCCAGTTTTTTTTTCTTTTTTTTGTTTCTGTTTGTCTGTTTGTATG